GCTCCTCGTTCCCGAGGGCATTCCTCCGCCGCCGAGTCGCCCCGGGCGTCCGGCTGCTGCGCCCCGCCGGGCCCGGCCCGTTTCTGCCCCGCGCTCTGGAGCACCGGCCGAGGCGGACCGAATTCAGGACCCAGGTGACTTGGGCGGCGCCGCCACCACGTCTGACCACACCCCTGGTTGGAGGCGTTTCTGCCCACCCAGCTTGATTGCGTTTGGGGCGCTTCGTTTTCTTAAGAGCTGCTCGAATTTGCCCTGACAGCTCAGCGTGTGACCTCATGTGCTGTAGTTGGCGCCCTGGGCGAGCCGATCGCTGTCTGCTCGTACTGGCCTCAGGCCGCTTATGTGACTCGAGGCTGAACGGGCCGTCCTGACCCGCTCGAGGAACAGCGGGGCCCCACAATGGCTGCCCCATTGTGGGCCAGGGGAGGATATTTGGAGAGGAAGTAACGGGGGTGGGGGGGGAGCAGATGTTGCCGGGCCATGGAGACCCCTCTGGGGGCTCGGGCTTTCTCCCCAGGGGACCACGCGGCGCAACTGTCGGGTTGTGAGCAGAAGAGGGGTGTGCTTGAGATTACCTTCCAGCCGATCAGTGGACACGGAAATGGTGTGCACAGACCGTGGGGCAAGGGTGGACGCAGGATGTTAGGAGGACGCTGCAGTAGTCCCGGTGCCAAACGATGGAAAAGTTCACAGAACAGTGTCATAACCCCAGTGCCCCACACCCAGCTTCGGCAGCATCGCCGCGGGGCCAGATTTTTGAGGATAGCCCTCCCCGTCAAAGCCGCTTTTGCTGAGATAAACCCCTCAGCTTTGAGTGTTCAGCTCACTGGTTTCCAGTGAATCTGTTGTGCCGTCATCAACACTCATTCCAGGACATTTTCATGACTCTGAAGAGAAACGCCCATACTCTGCCAAGGCCCCCTGGCATCCCGTCTCTCCCAGTCCTCCACCATTGCTCCTCTTCTGTCTCTCTGCTGATTCCGGGTATTTTGTCTGAATGGAGACTCGCAGCGGTCTCCTGTGAGCCACCTTTTCATTTAGCGTGGCATTTGCCAGCATTGGCCATGCTGCAGCGCATGGGCGGGCTGGCTCGGGTAGTTCAGCAGTCGCTGGCTACAGGTTTGTTTTCCCTCTGCTGTGAGTAACACTGCCTCAAGCTTGCGTGTGGGTGTGTTTTGACCTCACTTTGGTATATGCCTGGGAGCCCCCCCATTGTGTTCAGGCGAATTTCAGGTGCCATGCGGAAGGAGTTCTGCATACAGCTGGAAGAAAGGCCTTGAAAGGCAACCTGCGCGCCACACCTCTGCCACACCTGACAGTTATGCTAATTGCTTGGCGCCAGCCGTGGCCCAGGATGAGCTGTGATGGGACTTCTTGGTGGGTTGGCTGCCCCTGCAGACCTCGGCGGGGAGTCAAGGGTTCCAAGGCTTCAGTCCTGGTGTCAGGAGTGCAGGTTGGCCCTCAGCTGCTGGAGATGGAAGTTGGGGTGGGGCGGGCTCTTGGGGCCCTCAGGAATGCGGGTTAGAGGCCCCTTTCCAGAGGACCCGCGCATGGTGTCCTAGCTGAGGTGTTGAGTCTGATGCGCGAGTCTTTGGTGACTGTGGGAAGGTGAAAGCAGACTGGATGGACTTAGTTTTGGCGTAGTGGGATCTGGAGAAGAGAAGGGTCCTGGGACACAGCCCTGAGCAGCCCAGGGTGAAGGAGCAGTTTGACAGGGTCTGTCCGGAGGTGGCGCGGCCAGCCAGCGGGCTGTGCTGGGCACAGTGGCATGTGCTGGCCTGCGGCCGGCTGGGGCTCTTTTCCGTTACAGTAGCCCACTTCCAGCCCATGCGTGCTTCCAAAACTTGTATTGGGGCTGGCTGCCTCCTCCGGATGGCCTTTCGCCAGGATTTCAGAGGGCTTCTAATGTCTGGTGTGGCCTAACTCTAGTTCTGAGGGGACACAAGCCGCTCAACCTGCCTGTGGCCCACTGTCTCCTCACAGCCCTCCTCAGATACCACTTCTAGACACACAACTCCTGCCCCTGCTCGCCGGCCACTCATCAGTCTCTGAGCGGCTACCTTGGGTGCCTTTACCAGGTGTGTTCATTCCCTTGGGCTGCTGTAAAAGCTAGGGGGCTTCAAACAACAGCACTTTATCCTCTTAGGTTCTGGAGGCTTCTGGTGATTAAAGGGTCAAGTGCGCTGTACCCCCTCCAGAGGCCCTGGGGTAGATGAGGCTTCCTGGTCTCTTCCTGCTTCCAGTGGCCCCAGGTGTCCTTGGCTTGCAGCCACATCACTGTGGCCTCTTACTTCACCATCACGTGGCTTGTCTGTGTTCTCTCCTCCTTGGTCTCTTAAAAGGACACTTGGCATTGGATTTAGGGACTGCTGCATTATCCAGGACGACCCCATCTTAAGGTCTTTCTCTGAGTTATACCTGTAAAGTGTAAATAAGGCCCCAGCCCCAGGTTTCTAGAGGGCAGGATGTGGTTGTGTCTTGCTAGGGTCACATTCAGTCCACCATACTAGGCGAGCCGGTGCCCTGCACTCCTGCATGGGGTGCTTAGCAGTAGGTGCCTGGCACGCACACATCTCCCTCTGAACATCACCTTTCCAGGTTCCCTCCACTGGTGACATCCTGAATTTTGGCACACAGCCTGAAGAGAGGTGGCAGGCAGATGCGAGAAGCAGTGCTCCCCAACCCCACTGGCAGGCCTGTACCTCCCTTTGCCACCCAGCCATCTGTGGCGGTGGACAGAGTGTGGCACCCTGCCTGGGTGCTCCCTGGGGCTCCTGCGCCAAGTGGCGTCTGGCCCTCGGGGTGAGACGGTCTGAGCCCCTCTTCTCTGCCAGGCCCGACTTGGTGGATGAACAGGCCCCTCTGGAAGAGTGAGCCGTGTGCGATGGTGCAGCCCAGTGGCGGCCCGGCCGGGGAGCAGGATGCACTGGGGGAGGAGCCCGTGCCGGGGAAGCCAGCCCCGCCGCACCTGCCCGTGGAGCATGCGCCTGAGGCCCTCCAGCGCTGTCTAGAGGAGAACCAAGAGCTCCGAGGTGAGCAGCCCGCTGGACAGTGAAGATCGGGGATTTGCCTTGCTGCATATTGCTGGGTCTGGATGGACCTTTGCCCGAGGGCCAGCTACCCACATGAGCCCAGCCACCCCGTCTTTGTCCCAGGGGGCCCCCTGGAAGGAAGGAAGAGAAGCCCCTGAGCTAGAGCAGCACGGGGGGGGGTGTAATTGCCCCTTCTCGGGACCCTGGTGGCAGGAGAGGGATGGGGCGCGGCAGGGGCCAGAGGAGCCTGGGCAGCCTGTGATCTGCGGGGCAGGGAGGAGCAGCCTCCCTGCACAGGGCCTCTGGGCTGCTTTGGGAAGCAGGGTGTGTGGGTCTCCGGGGGAGGGGTCTGAACTGGGCCTCTGCAAGATCGCAGCTGAAGCCCCACTCTGGTTCCCACCCCGTGTGTCTGGGTACCTAGTACTGCCCAGGCACCCCAGCACGTGCCCCCAGCCCCTGCCCCTTGACCTCTGTCTGCCTCAGCTGCGCGGGCAGCGCCCTCCTCTGCTCCGGGTCGTGTCCCAGGCGCCTCTCGCCATGCAGCCCTTGCTCTGGTTCGGCGAGAGCCTCGTCTCTGCTGTGGGGACTGTTGGCGGTGACGGCCCTGAACTGTGGCTGGGAGGCCCAGCACCCCGTGCCCTTGGGCTTCAGCCCTGGGTTCCTGTGGGGGACTTCATCTTTTATTTCTTTACTTTCATTTTTTTAAACGTGACGTAATAGGCTCCCACATTCCTCCGGCACCACCTGTCGGGCCCCGCCCTCTGCTCCCCACCCCTCCTGCTCGGGCCGCTGCCCTCGGCCTCGCTGCCCCCTCACTGGCCCCTGGCTGCAGGCGCCGGTGACTGCTTAGCGCTGCTGCCCGGGGCTTCCGCCCTCAGGTGCCAGCTCGCTGACCCAGCCGCCTGGTCTCACGGGCCTCTGTCACGGGGCGCCCCGAGTGTCAGGTGCCGTAACCCTGCTGGCTGTGGCGAAAATGGGCGACCTCTTGCTGCTGCGCCAGGCCGCGGCCTGCCCAGAGAGCCTTCGGCTCAGTGCAGCCTCCGTGCCTCCTGGGCATGGCAGTGCCCACAGCTCTTACTAGCCGTCCCCACGCCGCGCGCCTGCTTGGCCTGCAGAGTCTGTTGTGCACCAGGCTGTCCATCCGCTCTGCGCCGAAGCCTTTTCCTCCTTGTGGTGCAAGGGTCTGTCTCGAGGAGCAGGCAGGGGACGGTGCCCGGTGGCCCTTCCCGTGGCCACCCCAAGCAGGCAGTGGCCCCATGCCTCTTGTCTCTGGGTTGTGGAGAGCTGGGCCCAGTGCCGTGAGGCACCCGCCCGGGCCCCGACCAGGGAGAGCGCAGGCGCTCCTTCCAGAGGCCGCTGCGAGGAGAGGAAGCTGGCACGCTCTCGCTGTTGCTCCAGAGAAAAGTGGGGCCTCTCATTAGCGTCATTACTTTGTTATTTGTTTAAAGATTGATTTATTGATGCACACAAGATCTGGGGTATAGGCCAGAGGTGCGGAGGAGGCGGGGAGACAGCGGGGAGCAGCGGATCTACCGAGCCCCACTGCTGAGGGGGCAGCGGGGACGCAGGAGGGGGCTGCCGCACCCTGGGGTGCCCCCTGGCTGGGCGCAGCCTCACTGTGCTGCACCGGAGGCCCTGCACCACCAGGGCCCAGACTGCTGCCTGGAAAGCATTTCCCAGCACGAGCACGGGGAGCCTGCTCCCGGGGTGGGGCCTGTGGTTCCGGGAGCATGGGTGAGGCCAGGGTCACCTCCCCTGTGCTGTGCCCCCACCAGATGCCATCAGGCACAGCAACCAGGTGCTGCGGGGACGCTGTGAGGAGCTGCAGCGCCTCCACGGCAGCCAGCGGGAGGAGAAGGCGTTCCTGCTGCACAAGTTCAAGGAGGCCAGAGCGCTGGTGGAGAGGCTGAGCCTGGAGAGGCTGGAGCTGAGGCGGCAGAATGAGCAGGCGCTGCAGGAGGTCGAGCACCTGAAGAGATGCCAGCAGGTAGCGGGTGACAGGCCAGCCGTTTCCTGGGAGCCTGGAGCCTCCAGGCCGGCAGCCACCTGTGCTGCAACCCCCCCCCCGGACCCACAATGAGACCCCGACAGCCAGGAGGACCCCCGGAGTGCAGAGCCGGGCCCACACCAGGCTGGGGGCTCGTGGCTGCAGGCCCCGTAGGGAGCAGTCTCGCCCTGAGGCCTGGCCCGTGCTCCTTGAGGGTTCCATGGGGAAGGCTCTGGGTCATAGGTGCCTCTCCATCTGTGAGGCTCAGGGCCACCTCGAAGTCGGAGCCTCCCAGTGAGTGCTCTCAGGTGGAGGGCATCAGGCCGGGCCAGGGCAGGCTGCAGCAGGCCACGTGGCCCCTTCCCAGGCAGGCGCTCTATTTTACTTTTTATTAAAGATTTTTTTAAGTATTGCTTATTGATGCACACAACATCTGGGGTGCAGGCCAGAGTTGTGGGGTGGGGGTGAGAGGACTCCCCAGAGACGGAGTGGGGAGCAGCACAGGCGTATCCACTGAGACCCACTGCTGACGGGGCGGCGGGGAGATGGGAGGGGTCTGCCGCGCCCTGGGGCCCTCCCTGGCCACAGAGGTCATGGACAGCTTCATGGTGCCGTGCTGTAACCTGTTGGGCCACCAGGGAGGGCCCAGGCAGGCATTTCAATGGCCACGCTGGAATTAGGCCGAGTCTAGATGGAATTGAGCAGCAGGGGCTGCGGGCCGGTTTTCGCAGCCCTCAGGTGAGGCCCTTGAATGCTGAGCCAGTGCCGTGTGCCCGAGCTCCCCAGGTGGACGCTGTGGGCGGGTGTCCACTGTGGTCTGTCACAGCTGACGGGTCTGACCATCATGGGTGCTGGCGAGGACATGTTTTAACGGGAACGGTGGTAATACCACTTGGTACCAGCCTTGCGGGAAACCAGCTGTTGGGCATTTTTTTCCAAGTTGATAACTCAGGTCACCCCCAGCTCAGCAGTTTCCCCCAGGAGTGTATCTGAGAGAAACTCAGTGAGTGATAGTGACTGGGGGGTCAGCGTGGGAGAATGACTCCCACACAGGATGTGGCTTTTGTGTCATGCAGCAGATGGCCGAGGACAAGGCCTCGGTGAAGGCCCAGGTGACGTCCTTGCTTGGGGAGCTGCAGGAGAGCCAGAGCCGGCTGGAGGCTGCAACCAAGGAGCGACAGGCTCTGGAGGGCAGGTGAGTTGGGGGAGGGCCCAGGGAGGTCAGTGCCCAAAGCCCGACAGGAGTGAGGCAGGTTTGGGGGTTTCAGGCTGCAGGAACCCCTCGGTGAGAGCACTCGTGCTGACAGCGCTGGGCTGGAGGCGCTGTGCACCGGGGTCCCAGCCAGGCAGTGTCCAGCAACACTGCATGAGCCCCTTAGGGGGCATCTCCAGGAGCACGTGGCCTCTGTGCTCTGAGGCCTCTGTGCTTCTTGGAAGCCCCCCAGCGCCCTCAGGATAGAGGTGTGCTCCCGGGAAAAGGCTCCCGGCAGGACCCACGCCTCGGACCCCCGTTCTCCTCCTACCCACTGCGCGGCCTCCTGCCAGTGTCCCCTTCTCTGGCAACGGAAAGGCACCGGGACCAGGTGTCCCTGGGAGACTCGAGTCTGAGTCTTTATTGGGGCCGCGTGGGCCCAGCGCAGGGGTGCCCCTGGAGTGGGAAGAGTGTCCTGCTGCGGAAGTGGGACCTCCAAGTCAAAGGGCAGGCGGGGCTGTTTCTGTGTTTTCTCTTTTTTTAAAGATTTAGTTATTTATGCACACAAGAATGGGGTGTAGGCCAGAGGTGTATGGGTGAGAGGATTCCCCAGAGACAGAGTGGGGAGCAGAACAGGTAGACTGAAGCTCACTGCCGCGCCCTGGGGGTCCCTCCCTGGCTGGGGGGTCGAACTCACGTTGCAGTGGCTGCACACAACTTCATAGCGCCGCCTTCTGCCCCCTTGCACCAGCAGGGCGAGGCTGTTGCTGTTTCCCATGCGCGCAGGGGCTGCTTTGGGGCCAGTGGGTCGGCTGCCCGGGTGCCTCCCCCCCCCCGGGCCGCAGAGGAGCGCCGGGCGGGCGGTGCGGCCGGCCGCGGGGCTAACCCAGTCCCCGTTTCGCCGGCGCTGGGAGCAGCCTGGAGACGCAACACGGGGCGCCTGGCGAGGGGAGGTCGAGCCTGGAGGCAGCGGCCGCCGCCGTGTGCTGTGCCCCGGCGCTCTGCGGTACCTCCCCGGCTCCTAAGGGGCGCACAGGCACTAGACTGCTCCCAGTGCGCCCTGCTCATCTCCTCACTGCATGTAGTCTGGGTGCTGGCGGGAATAGTGCTGCCCGCTCTGCCTGGACCCACCCAGCCACTGTGTGCCACCTCTGTAGGCACCTGGACCACCTCCTTTCCTGCCCCTCGCCTGTGGGAAGGGACGCATGGGGCTTGGCTTGCGTTTCTGGTCACACGGTGCAGCCATTTCAGCAGCTTCAAACTACATCCCGTGGATGCGTGTGGTGTGGCCCAGGCCTGGCAGCTCGCCATGGCCCTGCCCCGTTGCATGGTGCCAGGCAGGGGATGCACAGATGCACAGATCCACGGTGCACAGATGGCAGTGTGTATTTAGTGGTGCAGAGAGGCCAAGCAAGGAAAACCTTGGGAACTGCCACCTGCCCAGGAGCGCCCCATGGCACGCCCATGCTGGGCCAGGGAGGGCATCGCCACAGGGGGGTGATGTGGCCGGAGCCTGGAAGTGGAGGTTGAGGGAGCTGTGGGGAGAAATGAGTGTGGAGACAGATAGGGGAGCTGTGGGGTGACATGGCCCATCAAGTCACCATGACAGTCAGATGATTGAGGGGCTTGTGTGACCCGGAAGAGAAGACGAGCCATTGCAGTGGGGTGGTGTGGGGGGCGCCCCTCAGGCCGTTGTTGTCACCCAGGCAGGCAGGCAGGCAGGAGGCTCCTCGTGCGGGTGAGGGCGACTCCGGCTGAGCCATGGAGGTGGGCGAGCATCTTGCGAACAGCCTCTTGGGGCAAGAGTTACCTGAGCACGTGACCCTGCCTCTCTGTGGCACCCCCATTTCTCACCTTGTCTCACCTCCCTCCTGATCTTCCAGAAAGGCCCTTTTTAGCTGGATGCCTCTACGTGCTCTGTCTCTGTGGCCGTCACAGGTGCTGCTCTTGCAGCCGCAGCACCTGCCGGGACCCGACTGGAGGGTGGTCCTGGGCCTCTTGCCCGGCCCCACCACATCCTCTTCTCCTGACCTTCAGTGGTCCCCTCTCCAGTGTCCTCGCCATCTGCACTCAGTCTGAGCACTGCCTCGTCTCCGTGGCCAGTGGTGGGGCTTGTGGCCCGTGTGGCTCTGCTTTGACCAGAAGTCCCGGAACACGCCCACTGCCCACTTTCTTTCTGCTTCCTGACACCCCCCGCCCTCTGTGCCAGGGCCCGGGCAGCCAGCGAGCAGGCCCAGCAACTGGAGAGCGAGCGGGAGGCGCTGCAGCAGCAGCACAGCGTGCAGGTGGACCAGCTGCGCATGCAGACCCAGAGCATGGAGGCCGCATTGCGCATGGAGCGCCAGGCCGCCTCGGAGGAGAAGTGAGTGGCTTCGCAGGCTGCTGGCCGCGAGCAGCCGCTCTCCTGTCGGCGGGCAGTGGCCTGCGCCCTGCATGGCAGCAGTGTGGCCTGGGGTCTGCCCTCCCCCCTGGGTGCTGTCCAGGCCTCCTGTCATCTGGAACAGCCCCCCGCAGGCCTGCATTTCTGGGAGGAGGGTGGGTCGGCAGCGTTCTGGGCTCACTGCGCCGGGGGCTGCCGCCTCCCAGGCCTGCGCACGGAAGCCCCTGCCCTGCGGCCCTGCTCGTGAGCGGAGGGCGGAGTGGGCAGGTAAGGTTTGTTTTCCTAGGCGGAAGCTGGCGCAGCTGCAGGTGGCTTACCATCAGCTCTTCCAGGAGTACGATAAGCACATCAAGAGCAGCGCGGCCGGTGGTGAGCGGAGCCGAGTGAGTGCGTGGGCCGGGCCGTCAGAGGCACAGCCCGCTTCAGGCTGCCTGCGCGGAGCACAGGGTGCGCGGGTGGCCTGGCACCCCGGGGCCAGCAGCTGGGGCCGGGCATCAAGGACCTGCCCATGGGCGCTGAGTGGGCCTGGGCTCCCTCTGGCTGCTCCCCTCCGCTGGCCGCTGCCTCTCAGGCTTCTGGCTCGGCTTTCCCCAAGCCCCAGGGAACGCCGGCAGTGTCCAGCTTGCCATGGCAAGGCTGCTGTGCGCCCTCTGGAGTGCACGGCCCTCAGGCCCCCAGTGCAGCTCCAGCCCTCATGCGTGGAGGAGGGCATCAGACGTGAAGACACCACAGTTCACGGGGGGAGGGGTGGGTGCAAACTGGCAGGGCATGTGGGAGTGTGTGTAGGTGTGAGCATCTGTGTGCACGTGGGTGTGTCTGACGTGTGTGTTGTCTTGGCGGGGAGGTGTCTCTAAAGGGCAAGAAGGGTTGAGGCTCAGCAGACAGTTGCGGCGACTCTCCCCGAAGATCGGAGGGTGCTGTCGCTGGGGTTCTGGGGTGGCATTGTTGGCCCTCCGGCCCTGCCCTCCGGTGCCATGCGCACTGGCCTCTGGGTCGGCCTCTCAGCCCGAGCAGTGGGCTTGCTGGGAGCCCAGGCCACTCAGCCTGCTCCCTGCAGGGGGCGCAGCTGGAAGACCTGAAGCAGCAGTTGCAGCAGGCCGAGGAGGCCCTGGTGGCCAAACAGGAAGTGATTGACAAGCTGAAGGAGGAGGCCGAGCAGCACAAGATCGTGATGGAGACCATCCCGGTGCTGAAGGCGCAGGTCAGGGTCCTCGGGGACGCCCACTTGCTCTGGCTGCTCCGCCGCCGCCCCGGCCCCGCCCAAGCGCTGGCTGAGTGTGGGCCCTTGGCCTCCAGGCGGACATCTACGAGGCGGACTTCCAGGCCGAGAGGGAGGCACGGGAGAAGCTGGCCGAGAAGAAGGACTTCCTGCAGGGGCGGCTGGATCAGCTGCAGCGGGAGTTCAACCGCCTGAAGTCCAGCTACCAGGAGTCGGCCAGGTGGGCCCTGACGCAGGCGGTGGGTGCGAGGGCGTGCCTGCGAGGGCGTGCCTCCTCCGCCCGCCTGCTCACCCCGGCTTGCTTCCTTCTAGGATTGAGGATATGCGGAAGCGGCATGTCGAGGCCTCCCAGACCTCTCTACCTCCTGCCCCAGGTGAGGGAGGGCAGGGTGCTGGCCGGCTTTGGGGGGGCGCCCGCCGACCTCCCCTCTGTGCTCGAGTGCCCACAGCAGCCTGGGCTGAGGGCAGGGCACCACCCCAGCTCTCCATTCCTGTCGCCTAGTCCAGCGGAGGGAGCCGCCCGACTTCTGCTGCCCCAAGTGCCAGTACCAGGCCCCCGACATGGACACCCTGCAGATCCACGTCATGGAGTGCATCGAGTAGGGCCGCCGCCGCGGGCGCGTCTCCTGTCTCCCTGACTTGTGGGCGGGGGCTTCGCCCTGTCACTTCTCTGAGCCCTGCGCTTCAGCCCCCGCTGCTGACCGCCTCTCGTAGGGTGCGTGGCACCATAGCCAGGCCCCAGGCTCTTCCTGTTTGCTCCGTCTGCTTGAACCGCTTGCCTCTGGGGTTCCCTCTTCTCCCACTGCCGTGGGGAGGCGGGGTGGTGGGGGTCAAGGATCAAGGCCGGGGCTCTCAGGGAAGGCTGCTTCCCCCGGCCGAGCTGCGGGCAGCACCACGGCGGATCCATCCTGTGTGCCGCCAGCCGGCTGCATCAGCCGTGAGTCACGGCCTTTGAACCCGCACCGTTTATGTCTGCAGGTGGGGGCGAGCACCCCCAGTGTCTTCCTGCTCCCCGCTCCTTCCGCGGAGCCCTGTGGGCTGGCGTGCCCTCAGGCTGGGCTGCGGCTGAGACCTGGCCAGGCCAGGACTGGCTGCACCGGCGGTGCCCAGGGGCTGCGCCTGTGTGGAGCGTGCCGGATGCCAGGGCAGCCGCGGGCTCCTGTTCAGGTCTACGAACGGCTCAGGGTTTCTGGACCGTCAGTCTCAGGCCCTTGAGGAGCTGTCTGGTCGTCAGTGGGCACTGGGGCATTTGGCCCAACATTCGCTGTCTCTGCGCACACACACCTTCCTGTCATCTGTTGCCAATGGCTGACGGAGCGGCGCTGCCCACGCCTTGGCTCTGCCCTCCTGTGCTACAGGCCCGGGGACGAAGCCCCACCAGCTAGCGGGGAGCACAGGCCCGGCTTTGCTGGGGCCCTTTCCGAGGTGGCCTCAGCTGTAGGCCCCGCCCTGCAGCCCAGGAGGACTGCAGGCCAGGAAGGACCCAGGCCTTCACCTCACCGGCACCCTTGGGCTCCGGGTGGGGTTTCCGCTCTGGGGCCTGCGCTAGGGTGGGAGTATGGGGCTGAGTCCCTGGCCTATGCTGGCTTCCTCAGCACCTGCAGCGTCCTAAAGCCCAGCTTCCCAGACAGGTCTACACTCATGGGTGCCATGTCGCAACCCCCACCCTGCCATATTCCTCAAGAGCACTTTTAGTTTGGGGGTGCATTTGTTTCCTGTGGCTAGTGGCACAAAGAACCAGAGCCTTGATGGCTTGAAACAGTAGAAATTGTCTCCCACTTTTGAAGATCAGAAGTCCAAGGTCAAGGTGTGGCTCCCTCTGGAGGCCGTGAGGCTGCTGGGCTTTGAAGGGTCTGTGCGCCTCTGGGTCATGTGGCCTCTTGTCCCTGGATTCAGGGGGCAGGGAGGTGACCCTTTCCTGTTACACCTCAAAGGCCCCTTTTCCAAATGGGCCCCGTCACACGTTCTGGGCAGTACAACGTGGGCATACGCTGGGGGTCCTCCTTAGCCACCTGGAGCCCATGGATTAGGGCACCTGCAGTTGAAGGCCTGGGTGTCCAGGCTTTCAGCTCACTAGTGATGTCCTGGTGAGGGGCCCGGCCGCTCGGGGCGAGGCGGGCCCCTCAGGACAGTGGTGTCCTGACAGGTACTGCTGCCAGGCCGGTGGGCAGGACAAGGGGTCGGTGCGGGAGGAAGAGCTGGGCCCACCTGTGCCGGGTGCTGCTGCCTGCCGGGCAGGCCCAGGCTCCTGCTTTCCAGCCGGTGAGCCAGGGGCCAAGAGCTCATCTCTCTGCAGCTTTGACCCTGGCAGAGCTTCGACAGCGAGGCCTGGGGTGGTGAGGCAGGCGGGCATGCCTCCAGCCCTGGCTGTGACCCCCTGCGGGCTGCACCCCCACAGTGGCTCGCAGTGGAGTCAGGATGTGGGCACGGGCGGGCAGTGGCTGAGGGCCTCTGCTCTTCTGCATTTTCCTTCCTGGGGGCTGGGCGCCCTCAGCCCTGCCTGCTTCCTCCTCTGGTGCCCGGGGGTTGGCTGCACCTGCAGCACCACTCACGGCCATGTGAGGGTCTGCTTCCTCCAGCCCAGCTTCCTCGGGCGTCTCAGTAAGGACTTACTTCAGGAGCGCAGCCGGGAGGCGCTGAGCGGTCCTAGTAGCCGAAGCAAGCACTGCAAAAATGATGTCAAGAGAGCAACAGAAGGATTCTGGTCCTGCCCGCGGTCTCGGCCCAGTGTGGTGGGGTGAGCAGGCACTTGGGGAGTGTCCACGAGCCTCACCAGGACTCTGGCCTTGGAGGCCCACCCTGTCGCCCGCACTCACCGCACAGCTCAGCACCTGTGGTGTCACCTGTGCCCAGGACGTGCCTGGCGCGCTTCGGCGAGAGCCAGGAGGCTGCGTGTCAAGTGTGGGCCAGGGCCAGGAAAGCGTGCGCCTGCCGCGTGGGTGGGAGTAGGGGTGCCTCTGTGCCCCAGTGCATTACGTATTGTGTAAGCGCCCAGAATTTGCTGGATCACTCTGATCCCCAATATATCGTTCCCGCAAAGTCTGCCTGCTGCGTGCTGATGTCCGATGGCTCGACTGTTGCTTGGGGGCCACAGTGCAGCAGCTGTGCTGGACCTGCCGTAGTGACGCAGCACAAATGGGGGCTGTCGCCCGCTTCTGGGGCCAGGACTCTGCGTTTCGGCGTGGGCAGGGCGGGTTCCTCGCGAGCAGGAGGCAGCCCGGCCCAGCTGCGGGCTCAGGGGTGCCTGCGTCTGGCCCGAGTCCGCACGTCGTCTCCCCTCGGCGCGTGTGCGCCGGGACCCGCTTTGTTTCTGGCCAGGCCCCTCTGACCTCGTCCGGGTGGATGAGCCCGGCACACACCCGGTCTCCAAATCAGAGCACCTTCGGTTAGGTCCCCTGTGTCCTTTTTGGGGGGGACACAGCCTGACCGATCCCAGATCGACAGCCTCGCCCTGCTTTGTGGGAGGCTGGAGACAGCTGCACGTGAGGTCACGCTGGTCTGCCCTGAGCAGAGGCCGCCTTCACGGGGAGCTGGTCACTGAACATCAGGACGTGGACAGGGCCACGGTGGCCTTGCAGGCAGGACCCCAGGGCCTGCCCAGAGAGCCCACTGGCTGGTGCCAACGCCAGGACCAGGGTACTGCTGCAGGCGCTCTCCCTGGGTGTGTCCGCTGTGGGCGCTGGGCCCTGGCCTGCATATCTGTGTCACCTGCTTGGGTGGCCTCTGCGAGCTGGCTGCAGCTGGTGCTTCTCTTCCCAGTGGCCTGCGATAGGGGTGGAGTGTACCTTCGGGGTCCCGGTGTGGCAAAGCCTAGGCTGGGGCTGCTGTGGCCCCCCAAGGCAGTGCTGGGACACAGCCCGGTAGGTGCAGGGCAGGGCAGCTGCACCGCAGGGTGGGCTCCCGCGGCCCTGCCCAGCTGGCCCGTTTGGTTCCCCAGTCCCTTGGGGCTCAGGAATGGTGGCTGGCCAGATGGGCCAGGGCTGTCCTGCTGTGTCCTCTGCAAGCCCCCACCTGCCAGGGCTCTCCCAGCCGGACGTAGCACATGGGGCGCAGGTGGCTCCCCGACAGCCAGCGGGCCGCTGTCCTTGGCCACAGAGTGGCAGGCCCGTGTGCCATGCACAGTGGAGGGGTTGCCGAACTCTACCCGTGTGCTTGCTGGGCAACATATTGCTCAGAACAAACAATCCCCACGCCTGTTTGCTGTTCCTTGACCCTGAGCTTGAAGTGCACAAGCCCTCCTAACCACCCACAGGCCCTGTGCCTGCCCAGGGCGACCTGGCCTTGAGCTCCCTGACTGAGGCCAAGGGGAACCCGATTCTTTGTGTGAACTGTACAAGTGATTCCCAACTGGTAAGGCACTTTGTACCTGATGGAAACATTTTACTTACTTTAAAAAAAAGATTATGCGTACAGAACTGGGGTACAGGCCAGAGGTACAGGGGTGGGGCGGGGATCCCCCAGAGACAGTGTGGGGAGCAGGAACAGGCAGATGGGCAGAAATCCTCTGCTGAGGGGAGCAGTGGGGAGACAGGAGGGGTCTGCTGTGCCCTGGGGTCACCTCGGGGCGGGGATCGAACTCGCACTAAGGCGGCCAGGGCTTGGCTTAGGAAGGGCCTAAATGGACATTTTAAAGATCCATTGAAAAGACCAGTGAAACCAGAAGCTTGTTTTTTGAAAGTACGAATTACACAAACTGCCCATTAAGCCTCATGAAGAGAAAAAGGCGAGAACCCTAATGAAGAGAATCTCAAATGAACAAGGACGCCTCACAGCGAGTGTCACAGAAGTAGCTGCTCGTAAGTGACCATGAATATCTCTGTACAGACTGAAACATGTAGAGGAGATGGACAGATTCTTAGAAGCACACCAGCTTCCAAGCCTGAACCAGAAAACTAGAGAATCTGAACCAGCAGTTAGAAGCAGTGAGATTGCGAACCGTAATCAAAAGTCTCGGGATGAGGCCCAAGCCTCACGGACAGAGCGACACCCGCCCTCCGTGTTGGGAAGCAGTGTGCACCCCAGCACGGAACAGGGCACCGGCAGGTTAGGCAAAGAGCCGCAATAGAGCTCGGGGCCGGCAGGGTGGCAGAGGCAGCGGGGGCTGGTTCTTCAGGGCCCAGGAGCTGAGTGTCCACTTGGCAGAGTTGGGGGGGTGCTCAGCGCACCCAAAGTTAACGTGTCCAGTACCTACGAGGAAGGGTCAGTTCACTCGAAGACAAGGTAATAAACCAGTACCCCAGTTATTGTCACCCTTTCATTGTGCTCTCCTGCCTTGGGCCCTCAGCTACGGGGTGTTAACGGGGACCCGAGGCAGGGGGCTGCTGCGCTCCTGTCCTGAGTGCGTCGCTCACTGCAGAGGGCTTGGGCACCGGGCAACGGCAGAGCCTCCGCATCCTTGTTTCGCTGACCGCCTGGACCAGAGAAACAATGAAAGCTACACCCGCACACGTGCGTCTGTCGCTTTGCTACGCGGAGTCACGTGACAACGAGCAAACGCTCGTCCTTCAGAGCTGCTCTTGGATTCAGCCAAGGGGCGGCTTGTGCTGCCTGTGAATTGTCCATGTGCTCAGCTGCGAGTCGAAATACCTGCATGCTGTGTGCCTGGACAGAAGGTGCGTGCTGTCCAGCCCTGGAAGGCCTGTGTTCCCATGGCCAAGTACCAGGCTGACAAGGGGTGGCCAGGCCTCAGACTTCAGGGGAAGCCGGCCTGTCTGTACCAACCTGGCCTCCCAGAGGCAGGAGAGGGGCGACGCAGATGCAGCCCTGCCAGCGCCATGGGGCAGTGCGCAGGGGCAGCGGAGACGGACCCGTGGCTTCTGCCCGCGGATTTACTAGCAGCGTCAGCCCCGGCGTGAGCCCAGCTGGCGCTGAGTGACCAGATGCGGCTGCAGCCGCGGGCGCGGAGCAGGCAGCACTGTCCTGCGGGGGGAGCACAAGGCCTGTGCAGCGCAGCTACAGGAAGTGGAAGACAGTGAACCGCCAGCACGTGGCAGCCCCATGGGCTCCCTGGCACACCTGCAGTGCCACGTGTGAGGGAGCGGGTGGCACTGGCCTGCTGAGGCCTGATCCCCAGGACACACATTGAACCCTTGACCCCTAAGTCTGTGGGCACAAACATTGGGAGGCTAGGGCTGGCCAGCTTCAGAAGCCATGGGCGACGTGGGGAGAAGGGAGAGCGGCCAAACCTCGGAAGGTGGGGAAGCACCCGCCGGCACTTGGGGACACGCGACTGTCCATCTTGCCCGGACCTGCATGGCAGGACACACAGAGGAGCAGCAACTCTGGCTGGGCGCAACCCCAGCAGCAGAAGGCGGTGGCCCCCTGAGACCCCACCAGCTTGCCTAGGCCACAGCCTTCCCAGGCTCCTGGGTCCTCAGGTGAGGGTGCGCCCCCACTCGGGGTCAGGTTGAGGGCAGGACACTAGAGAGCATGCATCTGTCCACCACGAGGACACAGGCAGAGGGCAGCCACCGGCAAAGGAGGAACTGGGGCACCTTGACCTTGGACCCAGAGCCTTCTGCTTCCAGCACCAGAAGTCTGTGTCTGGGGCAGGAGCTGCCGCCAGAGGGCGCTTCTGCCCCAGCAGCCCGAAGCCAGTAAAGCGACCCACAGGTGGACTCCAGGTGTCACAAGACCCAGTCAGTGTTGCCTGTGGCTGACAGAGGGTCCTGCAGTACCGGGGTGTGGAGCCTCGCGGGGCGGGGGAGTCAAGAGTGGGGCAGGCATATGAGAGTGGCGGGAGCAGGGACTTCCAAGCAAGGTGTGCACATGCTGTGTTGGGGGTACTGGGATGGCCGTGAGGAGAGCACGAACAGGTCCTTCAAGTGGGGGAGCCCTTGTCTCTTCTGTGAAGCCCTCTGCTTCCCCTCGCGTGTCTGCTCCACTTTCTGCCCAGGCGGGGTGGTTGACGTGAGGCGCTCGGGTGCAGAGGACCGCCCTTGGGGATGCCATCCAGGCCGTGGGGAGCCAAGCAATCATTAAAGGCCGGGGTGCTGATGCGGCTAGGCAGGGGGAGGCGAGCCGAGCCCGGGTGCTGCAGGGACAGGCGTGGGGTGAGGAGGCGTGGGGTGAGGAGGGCTGGGTCAGCACCCTGGAAGCACCGTTCCCTCCTGCCCAGCCCCAGTCACAGCGGACCTGCGTCTCCGACCCCTTCCGTGCTCCTCCGCCTTCACCCCGCTTGGGTCAGGCTCGCACCCCTGCCCTCCTCCCACCCCTGCGTGACCCTGACCCCGAGTCGCAGGTGCCACTCTCGGGTGTCCTGCCCTGGACGCCAGCAGCGCTACAACAGAGCGGACCGCGCCCTCGCGACCCGAGCATGCTCAGGACCCAAGGCGACGCAGTCCACCCCGCCAGCTCCGTGCCGCTTTTTGGCCAGTCCTCCCACCGCCCCCAGGAGGCTGCAAGAGCCAGACTCAGGGCTGGGCTGAGTGGGCACTCGGCGCCAGCCAGCGGAGCGGCCAGGCTCCTCCTCCGCATTCCTGGGGACCTGCTGACGCTTTGTGTCCCCGACTCTGTGTAGCCAGGCTGCCCCTGAGCCCCGCCCTCTGGCTCCTGGCAGCTTCCTGGCCCCTCTGGCAGCGTCAAGGTTGTGCTGAGACTCAGGCGCCCCACCACGTGGGACACTCCACAGCCACTTACCCTGCAGGAGGTGCATGTCACGTGTGCCATGAGATCGCCCTCAGCCGGGCATGGCGCATGGCGCAGACGACGGCACGCACAGGGTGGTGAGGATGTGAGCGGAACGGGCCCTTGCTCAGCACCGGGGACGGCACATTGCTGCAGCCAGTGTGGAGACGGCACGCAGCCGTCCCGGGAGCAGCGGAGTGGGGCCCCGGATGCAGCCAACCCTTGCAGAGTGCCTGCCGCCAGCACGGGCATCTCTAAGGGAAACACGCCGCTGCCTGGGCCGTTGCCGGCCCCGCTCGCGGTCAGGCGCCCAGGTGACTCCGTAGAGCAGGCACGGGCTACGCAGTGGCCCGGAGACGGCGCATCGCTGCGCACCGCTGTTGAAGAGGACGAAGTGGGGCCATTGAGGGTAAAATCACTCAGTGATGTAGTGATAACGCCGCTACGGGAGGCCGCTTCATCTGTGGGACATCAACAGCCATGACACGCTGGCAAAGCGCAGCAAGGACAAACGTCGCACTCTGAAGAATGTACGGGTTACCGGAGGGAACGGGCCGGGAGGAGGGGCGGGGGCTGGAGCGTCGGCCCGGGGGGTTTCTGAGAGCGGCTGTGCGTGTGGAACCCCAACATTGTATTGACACAGAAATGGCCCACAAACAGAATAAATGAACGAATACAGGGTCTCTGCGGTGGTGCTGTCTCTGCCCGGCCCCCCTCTTCCTCTCGGGGAGCGGGGGCTAGGGGGCCTGGCCCCTTCCTCCTCACGTCTGATCCCAGGCGCCAGCCTCGCGCTCCAGGGCGTGGGGTGTCTGCTGGGCAGGGCCTGGGGGGCCGCGCCCAGCCCCCCTGAGCTGCCTGCCCCCCAGATCGTGTACTTCACCGCTACATTCCCCTACGTGGTCCTCGTGGTGCTGCTGGTGCGTGGAGTGCTGCTGCCCGGCGCCCTGGACGGCATCGTCTACTATCTCAAGCCCGACTGGTCGAAGCTGGGGTCCCCTCAGGTGAGGTGCTGGCCGGGGTGGGGGCGGGCTCCCAGGCCTCCTGAGCCGCTCACCTACTGCCCCTTCTCCAGGTGTGGATAGACGCTGGGACCCAGATCTTCTTTTTAGAACCATTGCGGGGTTCTGCTACCACAGTGGTGTTTCGCGAACACGGCAGTGCCCGCCTCGGCAAAGCCAAGTAGGATGCAGGCGTAACCCAGAGGGTGCCAGCCTCAAGAGACAGAACCTCGACACCTTTCCAGGTAGGTTCGGCCCCCACTCAACGGCCACTGCAAACCGCACCCAGAGGGTGAGCTAGTAAGAGCTTGCAGTGGAAGAAGTGGATCGGGCCCCCAATTTTCCCTTTTCAAAACAGGTAGCTGTGCAGTGGGCACTGGGCGTGACACGCTGCGCACGCATGAAACAGCGCGCAGCCGACCTTCCACCAGAATTGCAGTCACCACCCTCTTCAAGCTCCTCTTGTTTTTATCACATTTAACTTCTCTTTTCCGCGCCCGTTTCAGCCTTCAAGCGCAGTGTAACTTTCTTCAAAGTCAGAAGTTTAGGGTTTGCAGCGAAATTGAGCAGAAGGTCCATTTCCTCACCCCTTTGGCTTTTTCCTGAGGACAGACAACTCCCGAGCCCGTGCGAGCTGAGCAGGCACGGAGGACTCCGTGTGTGGCCCTGCCTGCTCGCTGGCCTTTGGGGAGCAGTGCGCGCCCTGGAGGGCTCTCCCGGCACCGCACGCCTCCGGCTCACCCTGGGCTTCCCGCCCCGTGGGCCCTCACTGGAAGGCTTGCCGCAGCACGGCAGGGCAGAGCCTGGAGTGTTTCCTCCTGCAGCTCCAGGAGAAAGCTGACGCCTTTCTGGCCCCGGTCCCCTTTCAGGCTGTCTGTGGGGAAGCACCTGACGCAAGCTCCCGATGCCAGTCCTCACATCACCTGGCGCCCAGCTTCCCTGCCTGAGCTGAATTAATGTTCCTCAAAAAGGCAAAAACCATCCATTGCCCAACCACTTTTTTCTTTTGTGAAAAAGATTAAATTACTTAAGCATACAGGAGCTGGGTGCAGGTCAGAGGTGTGCGGAGGGCGGTGAGAGGACTCCCCAGAGACTGGGCAGCAGAACAGGCGGACGAATGAAGTCCACTGCTGAGGGGAGCAGGGGGCAGGTCCCGAGAGGTCTGCTGCGCCCTGGGGGTCAGCTCCGGGTCAAACTCAAGCTAAAGCAGCTGTGGCCAGCTTCATAGTGCTGCCCTTTAACCCATTTACCACCACCAGGGAGGGCTCATGCCCTCATCGTAATGCGCTTACGTCTGCAAAGATTCGAGTTCCAAATGAGGTCACATGTGCAAATTCTGGGTGGTGATGAATTCAGAGGGACACCCTTGTCCCCACCCCAGTGAAGTGATCCTGCCACTAACCCAGGTCTCCCCATTTTTAAAGATGATTTATTTGTGCACACAAAACTGGGGTACAGGTCAGAGGGACAGGTGAGGGGATGAGAGGATTCCCCAGAGACACAGCGGGGAGCACAACAGGAGGATCCACTGAGACCCACTGCTGAGGGGAGCACAGGGGAGACAGGAGAAGTGTGCTGTGCGCTGGGGGTCACTGCCTGGCCGGGGATCGAACATGTGCCACAGTGGCTGCAGACAGCTCATAGCGCTGCTGTCTAACCCGTTACGCCCCAGGGAAGGACCCCAAACACATTTGAAGCCTCCTGGTATTCTCAGGTGAAGGGGAGCTCCCAGTGCCCTCCTGTCTGGCTGTCAACCCCACCCCATCATCCACGTCAGGCTCTGGGGAGAAAGGCCGGCGGGCTTGGGACTCACCCCTCACCCTCCAGGACTTCCTGCTGAGCCCGCAGTGTCACCGGCTCACCGCCCCTCTCTTCCCTCCTACTTGGGTCCCTTCACCATCCTTGCCGAAACCCCCCTGCCTTCATAGGGCCTTGCCACACCCTGCCAGGGGCTCCTCCTGCCGAGCAGTGGTTCTCCTCTGCTCCCCAAGTGCCTCAGGACCCGGGGGGCGGCTTTCCGGCCCTTCTCCCCGCT